GTCCCGCTGAAGGGTTTTTCGGCAAGCGCAGGGTATACACTCCGCAGCTGGACCCTTAACTCCTTCAAGACTGACCGCGGTATCCATAGGCCGTTGTCTGGGTCAGAGGCGATCGTACGCGGGGTTGATATGGTGGATCCAGGAACTGCGTGGGTGTGTCCAGCAGCGTGGATTGCAAATTTGACAACATTACGATATGTTGGCTACAAAAAAGCTCGGTCAACGTCAATTACGATGAATGAAATTGACGGGCCAGGAAGGGGGGAATAAACTAGAAAATGGTACGCAATGTCGATGTCGGAGCGTGTCAGACTGTGCTAGGGATCGTTAATCAAAGCCTTCAACTGAATGTCAGTGGCATGGTGATCGATGATCAGTGATCACTGAGATTCATGGTTGGGTAATGTGTGGGACACGACAGAAAATATTTCCATACCGTTGAGAATACGCGGAGATAAGTGGTAAGGAGTTCTGCGCACGTGTGTTCCCAGACGTTCAAGGCAACAGACATGACACAAACACATGTATCAAATCACATGTGTAATAGATATAATGAGGTTTGAAAAATTAGACCACTTGATGAAGTAAAAACATTCTTGGAATAAACTTGGAAAAATGATGACTCACTGGGAATACGTAGAAGCCGGTCCTGAAATCAAGTACGACAGGTGTCTTGCGATATTCTTCTGCCTCTTCCGGCGTAAGTTGCATCGTCGCTACGCATTGACTTTTGAGATAGTTGACATGTAAAAAGTACAAGTAGTATCACATCAGATTGAGCCAAGCACCGGAAACCTTGCCTACTTACCCCGTAGCAAGACACTTTCCCGTCAGGTTTAACGACGGGAATGCGCTCGCAGTCCACGAACCAAGAGCAAGGACCACTACATTAGCCTCGTATTCAGAGTCGTCGGCACAGCGGACTCCTTTTGTTTGTCCACGTTCGTCCTTGACCAATTCTTGAACTACCTTGCCAGGCAGGACTTTGACACCGCGTTTCTTCACATGTTCCATGAGGAGACCGACTGCACGTTCAGCCTCTGCCCAACCACCATCATGATTGGTGTAGCTTGTAGAAGAGACGTCCAACGACGTGAATGTCCCAAGTCTACCAGAATTGTGAAGGTCCGTAGGAAACTGTGCTCTGATGGATGCAGGACTATCTAAGCGCTCGACCTTGGCGCCGTGCTTGAGATCGTTGATAATAGACCGCTCAGTGTATGCATCGCCCAAGTTGAGGACACCGCACCTGTAGTATTTGATACTATGGTTATAATCTACTCTCAGCGAGAGAAAAAATGAAACGCAGACTCATGGTAACAGTCTTGCCACATATCATTGCGCCATTCTTCGATCGCCTGGCGGGCAAGCCGCGTGTATTCTGGATCGCCGTAACAAGAACGAACCACTTGATACTGAAGTTAAGCTATTCGATGTCGCAGAGGGGCACTAGAAACAACAAAACACCTTTATTCATGTCAGTGCTCGCTGCATCGACCGCGGGCAGATGCTCAGCACGATCGAGTACCGTCACACCGGTGTAGCCACGCTCGAGCAGGTGGTAAGCAGTGGACAAACCAAAAGCACCCGCGCCGACGATGACCACTACAGGCTTTGGAGAGGAACTTGAGCTTGTCAGTGACATTACCGTACTACGTGGACGTGGTGGTAACAAGCTATGACTCGGAGCCTTTGACCAGTTCAACAATGGTAGACTGCCTCCGCGGCCATTGCAGGGCTCTATGCAAAATCGAGAAGGAACGACTGTCTCTAGTACCGATTTAATGAGACTATAGTTTGATCCACTAAGAGTATCGATTCGGATTTCAGACTCATGCTATCGCTGGCACACCGTTGCACCACGGCTAAAGACTGTTATTTGTGGTATGTATGAGCCTGATGAGCCTGATACGTACTTCAAATCTCCACATTCCAGATCTTAGTTGACACGGACCACCCAACCTCTCAGTAGCCTGCGACTGTGCTCTAGTTCGATCCGAGGGACTCGGAAAACATCTCTGGCATTCTATTTGTGCTACTGGCGGTCGTGACTTCCTAACGTTATCTCCTTGAAGAGTTTTTCACATACAGTAACTACTCTTCAACGTGGTTGACATTCTAGGCTCGGGACCAGCCTGACTTATATAATCACGGAGTCCCAAGTTATAGCCACGTGACCTCACATCAGTCTGGATACGACTCACGAAGAATCTTCATTTACATCAAGCAACTCCCTGGCTGCATAATACCTCTCGTCGACACTAAGAGACCGCACGACCTTGCTGAGCCGCATAGACAGCTGTCCGAACACTCAACTTCAGACGAATCGTTTTGTTAATTGCATATGTATCGAGGGTATCGCCACCAAGCATACCCACATTCAACGCTTTCTATGGCCGTCCATTATGACCAGAATTCTTTGGTTTCTAACACCGATTCCTCACGCTTGCTGATATCGGATCTCCATGACATTTGGCGACGTTAATTCTCAAGAAAGACCGATACAACAGCGAATAGAGTTGACACGGGACACACTGACACCGGAATGTTGTCAATCCAGTCATGAACGTACTTACATGACACAAGATGTTGTCAACGCATGATGAGTACAGCCAACGTCAGTAACAGTGAGCTTGATCCTATACTATACTGGCGCCTACACACTCCTGGCTTGGTCACCGTAGTTCCGCCCGGAAAAATGATTTGTTACAGGCTTTGACCCCACAGAGTCGCCCAACTCGATTGGGAAAAGAAAAGAAGGTCAAGATGGCACACTTTGAAGATCTGATTATCCAAAGTAATATCCTATAACCCTGAGATATGGAGGGCGGGCTTCATTCGAAGACAGGTACGAGAATCGATCACGAGAATGGAGTGCGGTAACAGAACCTTGATGGAACGCAACGATGTCAAGTCGAAAACCACGCCGCAGCTGTAATGGTCCGATACGAGGATGATACGCGATGACACAGACCGCATGCCAGTGAATCAAAACAGAATGCAGAATGCACGCACATATATGGAGCAACGATATCGACAGGGGGTCCCGCACTGTATGTACTCCGACTCACCGTGGGTCAGGCCTCAGGCTCGGCGATGCCGATTGATCCAACTCAACCGCATTTGTGAGAGTCCGGAAACACCCTCTGAGAAATCGCTCATTTTTATGTCAAATATTATCGGGTTTCAATAGATTTCGAGCGAATCTCCTAGGGGCAGGAGACGGGTGAGATCCGTCCGGCAGGTCAACTTTATGGATCATGAAGTAGCATAATATGCCGCGTTTTGTTTATTACCGTGGCGTCCTATCGGTGGCGGGGGAATAACTTTTTGCATGAATGGTCTAGAGAACGTAGAGTGTGAGTATGATCAGCATGACAGTGCCACAGGCGCCCTTTCCTTTTGAGAAATTTGTCCCTCATCCAAGACCTCGACAAGGGAACATCACGCCAATATTTCGATTTCTATCAAACATGTTGTCGCCACTGGCATACATGGAGAACCTCTAAAATAAACGCAGCTATTGAAACAACAGATACTGAATAACACTGAGATCCGTCCGGTGGGCCAACAAGCCGGCGCATGTGCGCCGTGACCACGCTTCGAGTAACGATACACATAGTTATCGCCGCAGGATGTGGCGAACCTTGTGCTGCATGAGGAAAGGCGAGCACTCGTGGTGGAGTTGGCGAGGAAAGGGCTAAAGCTAGATTGGAAAGCCCTTCTTCAGCTACTCAGGAAAAGGCTTCGCACCCAGACCATGATCAAATCAGAGAATTTGATTAAGAGTCCGTATGTCGAAGTCGAATATAATTATTGTTCGTCTATACTTAGAGGAACACTTGGAGCGTGTGCCAAGTCCCCGCGGGGTAGGGGGGTTATATTGCGAGCTCTAGAAATTTATCAGTTGTCAGCTAATCTCCGAAACATACGAATGAATTAGGCCCACCCCAGACAAAGACGCATGAGGACGGTACTTCGAATGTAGCCATGACGTCTCATGAAACTCGCTTCGGAGTTTTTGCGGTGGGAAGTTCATTATCGGCGCCTCGTCCTGCTGCGCTTGCAGTTGTTGAGCACATGGCTTCTAGGACAGCGGCGGCGGTGGGGGAAGTGAATTAGACCCTGGCACACAATGTTGATATTGATTACCAACCACGGAAACTCACCCATGACTTGCCGGGGGAAAATCATCTGCTGAGTGAAGAGAGAGGATCGGAGAGGCACATGTTGTAGCCGCTCTAGTCCGAGCCTGAGCCTGGGATACTCGGACAACATAGTCCATTGTGCAGAAAGTAGCAGGACTGGCTTGGAGACTCCCGGAGATCAACCTCTTGACCTCCGAGTCTCATACGTGCCAGGGCTTTCAGGGAAGATGGGAAAGCCTCGTGGTAACAGCTCGATCGAAATATTTACTCACGATGCGAATCGCGACCGTGACGGAGGATGTGGTGGTGCAAGTCTTGCTGAACATCGTGCGGCCGTCACGGTGTTTCACAAAATGTCAACGATACCTACGGTTCCGGTTACTATCATGCTATGCCTGTAGCACTTGCTCCTGCACCTGTTCAATACCAAGAATCAAGAGACTTTAACGCGTCAAAAAAACACTATTAGACACGTATCCTAAATCTATCCGAGAGGCCTGTTATACATGATTTAGACAGGGAATCTTTGAACAGTGTAGGAAATAAATGCGTGCGGGCTAGTATATATGCATGCAAGGGAATAAGGGATGTCGATGATCAAATACAGTCTTATGAATATAAAACAAATAAAAGTAGGAGGATGACAGTGTTATAGACATCGACTGCCTCTCCGAACCTGCTCGGGCTGTCAGTATGTAAGGACCTGGAAGTCAGCCATCGTGGAAGGACTACGAGAGCTCCTCACAAGCCCTCGATGCCTTCAAGCATCCCTACCACGACCCGCCCGACCCTTCCATCTCTAATCGCCTCACAAATGACCGAAATCCCATTCCCAATCGTTCCATCCTCACCCTCTAGGCCATCCCGCATCCCAAACACATCCCCCCTAAGATTTCCAGCCCCGTGCATTCGCACGCCAAGTGTCACTCTCACAAACTCGTAGAGTGCACGCGTTCGAGGCGCGAGGTACTTGCTTGCTGGGGTGGGCCCGCGCCATGCCACCCCCGTCTGCTCAGCACTCGGGCTTGCACCGCGCACCGCGAACGGCTGTACGCCAAGATACGCGCACCGTAACTCCGTCAGCTTGTTCACCAGCCCCGCAGCAACGGATGTAATGAACACCGGGAGTGCGCTCAGCTCTGCGCCTTGCACTGGAGAAGTCGAGAGGGCTGTGACGAGCGGTACTACGCATGCGCTTGCAACCTTATACATCCGTGCGTTTGTCTCGAGCGTTGTTGTGTGATCGAGCGTCTCTGTGAGTGCTGGGATGATAGCTACTACGAGGGAGGTAATTGTCGTGTTATCAGTGAGCGAAGGGAAGGTGTTGAGGAGGGATGAGCGGATGAGTCCTGGGAGCGCCTCGTGCAGCTCCTCGCCGAGTGCACGGAGATCGAGTGCCTGGCATATCACCATGAGGTGTGATGCAGCGAGAAGAGTGGACACTTCGAGTGCAGTGAGAGTGTACCGTGCTGAGATGAGCGCGAGTGAACTGTAGGGTTGAAAAGGTTAGTTAAGGAAGGAGAGAGAGAAAAAGGATGTACTTGACACTCTGATTGTGCATCTCAGCGCTCACATTGCCCACGCCAACGTTCATTCCACCAAGCGCATTTAACTCGCCCACATATGACGCAGCGGCGATATCAACACCCTGTCCGCGTAATTGCAATAAGCCATCCCATCGACTACAACCAGACCAAAATCACGCACCTTGAACGCGAAATCCAATCCGACCTCTCCACCCGCCAAATTCGGGAACAAGCCCCGATTCATTGCCGGGTTCACAATCTCCGTAAGTTGCACGAACATCAGCTTCCCAATGTGTGCGAGGCTGAGACGGACGTGGTCCATCGCGTTCGTCAGGGCAAGTGCTTGGAAGTTCCCTGCGTGGTGAACCTGTCCGGTCTGGTTATTCGACGCGGAAGGGGGCTCAATGAGCGGGTTATCGGTGGCTATTGGGGTAAAGGATGAGTTGGTATGTGGCTACGGGGTTGGGACGACCTACTGGAGTTAACCTCAGTCGTGACTACTTGTGCTGCATTTGCGAGGTCCTCAAATTGAGGACCGAGCCATTGGGGGGCTGTGCGGAGAGAGTAACTGCGGTAGTTTAGCGTTCAATTTTGGTAGGACTAAGGAGATCAAAACTTGCCGATCCTGTCTCAACACCCCAGCATCATCCTCAATCTTGACTTCTACCTCATGTTCACTCGCAAAGGAAGATCCGGCGAGTAGAGCGTGCATGAGACGCGCGGAATGAATCTGGATTGAGCCACCAGGGAATCGTGAGTGTTTGCAATGTGAAAAATGCATTGTGTTTCGCAAGATAGTCACCACAAGAAAACGAAAAAAAGGAAGAAAAGAATCAGCTCTATTAACCGCGTGAAAAATCCGAAAAAACGCACCTGTCCAATGTGCGGCCTTGCCTCGCTAACGAAGGGATCAAAGCTGCCCCTTGCGCCGAGCATCGCTTCAACGGACATGGCCGTTAGGACCTATAACC